CGGAATGGTTTGCTTGTGGAGTAACTCTGGCATCGAGATCCTGTCGGTGCTGCGGTTAGAGGGACCCATAGCTTAAAGCGTATCACCTCTGAGCTCCTTGGAGCTCTGGCGGCCTTAAGTATAAGAGAAAATGTCGCGGGTTTATTGCTAATTTCTGCGTTGTCTTTTACATTCACAGAGCACACAAACCCGATCATTGCTGGTTTCGTGTATATGCTTAGAAAAGCCAAACACAGAGTTCTGTCGGTGCTGCGGTTAGAGGGACCCATAGCTTAAAGCGTATCACCTCTGAGCTCCTTGGAGCTCTGGCGGCCTTAAGTATAAGAGAAAATGTCGCGGGTTTATTGCTAATTTCTGCGTTGTCTTTTACATTCACAGAGCACACAAACCCGATCATTGCTGGTTTCGTGTATATGCTTAGAAAAGCCAAACACAGAGTTCTAAAAAAGTGCGTAGAGTTTGGGAATTGCTGCTGCGGGAGAAAATCCGAGGGGTAGGTGCTGTGCAGCCCCTCGGTGCCGCGGTGCTGCAGCCCACGCTCCGTCCCGACGCAGGCTAGGTCTCTGCCCGGGCGCGGAGCTCGCTCCTCCTCGGCTTTCCCCCCCCTCCCCGTCTCTAGAGAAGCCGATTTATAACCGGCCCTGCGTGCACCTGGGCCAGATCAAGGAGATTGAGCTCGGTCACCGGGGGCCTTCCCACAAGGGCACAGTAATGACTTGTAGCAGATGTGAACTGCTCGCTCTCTCTGGGTAAGGCTCTGTGTTACTGCCCACGTGTGAATAGCTGCTGGTTCTGGAGCTGTGCAAGCTGAAATGATGGCAAAGCAGAGTTAATGAACACAATTTCACCCGCAGCCCCGGGAGGTTGTAAATGAGCCAGTATCTGGAGATGTCGGCAAATCCCCCGCTGCAGTTTTCCAGCTTGCCCCGTGCTTTATTTGCTCTGCCTGAGAGGCCGCGGGTTTTTTTTTTTCTCAGATGGCTTTTTCTTCTCTTGCAGCGAGAACGAGGCGTTGTGGAGGGAAGTAGCCAGCTTGAGGCAGAAGCACGCTCAGCAGCAGAAAGTTGTCAATAAGGTAAATCCTGGTCGTCCAGACGGAGGGGTTGGGACGCTCTTGCGTTCGCCGTGTACGTGGTGATGTGGTGACCACGCTGGGCGCTGGCAGGATCGGTGGGATGCGGCAGCATTAATTCTGTAAAAGAATAATTTTGATGGCTGTGTTTTCTTCCTGATACCGTGAAATTCTGAAAATCCAGCGGGGAGAGGCTGAGTTTGGGCTGGCAGGATTCCCTTGGCTGCCACGTAATGGTTTTACCCCGAGCCGTCACCTTTGTGCTCAGAGTTGCAGTCGGCGCCCGGCCATGTGCCCTGTGCCCAGCTCTGGCTCCGCTCTGAGCACGGGGACCCAGCGGTCCCAGAGCCATCTCCGTCCCTGCTTTTCCAAGCGCCGTGCGCACCGTAACGGGTTGTCCTTTTCTTCTCCTCACAGCTTATCCAGTTTTTGATTTCATTGGTGCAATCCAACCGTATTCTCGGGGTGAAGAGGAAGATGTAAGTCTGCATTTCTACATCCAGATAAAGATTCCCTGTCTGGGAGAATAAAGAGAGGATCAGCAGAGTGGGTCCCCCAGATCTCTGTCTTCTGTAGCAGCCTTGCCAGTGGGGTCAGCGGTCATTGGGATCATGTGAGCCTTCAAGTACTTGCTCCAGCCAAAACCAGCTAACACTGCTATGCAACTGATACCGAGAAGGGTTTGCCGTCCAGGCCACATAAGCCCGTGCAGAACCTACTTCGTAGCTAACCACGGCACCGTGCGAAACCGCTGCTGCGCCGTGGCGGCACGCGCAGAGAGGGCTGGGGTCTTGCACTGCTCAAATAGTGTCCTGGCGCTGCCATATCTCGGTCATTACACTGAAAAGGAGCCTTGGACCGTCCAGACCAGCCTCCTGCGGTCGCAGGCTGCTGCGACGCCTTCACAAACTAATCAAGCCTGTCCTCAAACGCGCTGCGGGTCATTTTGCCCCTTGCCAGTCGTGCTGGATGACCGTTCAGTACTTAAGTGCCTGAAGCGGTCAAGAACATTCCCAGGTTCATTTGGTTTGGCCAGTTAATAGTTACTGGGGTTTCTCCCAGGATTTTTTTGTGCTGTAGCACAATTACTTTTCCCTCCTTAGCTTTTACAGATGTTTGTCCTGTTGTCTCTCACCCGACACCACCGGGCTGAACGGGCCCCATTCCTCCAGCCTCATCCCGTGAGATGGGCTCCCCCTCCACCCCATTTTCCACACTTTTCCTGTGTGAACAGGCAGTTGCTCCGTTGTGTGTCGTGTCCCGTGTTGCCTGTCGAATCGCAGGACTGTCCTTTTGTGTTTGAACAGTCCCCGGCAGCACCATATGGCAGACAACACCACAGCAGGCTTGATTATTATTAATGAAGATAGTGGTTTATACGGTGATAATGTCCAAGACGTGCTGAAATGATTTATCTTGTAAGGAGAAAGAGTTTCTCCACAGTAGTCAAGTACATGAAAAGGGCCACAGAAGTGGTCGTGTCACAGCCGACCACGAGTAATCCATCTTTGGAGCAGTTGGCCGTGGAGAAGTGAAGCCAAGCAGAGCACTGACAATACAGGCCTGCCGAAGGAGGTGGCCAGGGACTGCGGAGAAGTCCTCCGAGGCCTGAGGTTTTACATTTCTGCTCAAAAATCTGCAAAACGTCGCCCGGGGGCTGGTCACGGGGGCTCGTTGTGTCCCTCCGTGTTGTGGGGCTGCTCCGCTGTACTGATGCAGCCGCCCCCGTGGCCACCCCGCAGGGCACCCAGACGTGGGGACGCTCGTGCCACGGCCCTCGGGTGGGTGCAGGTACCCAGCTCTGGGGTTGGGGTGGTGGGCTCTCACAGACCCGCTGCCGGCAGCGCGGTAACTCCTGTGGTGTTTGGGAATCTTTTGCAGCCCCCTGATGTTGAACGACAGCAGTTCAGCACATTCCATGCCGAAATACAGTCGCCAGTACTCCTTGGAGCACGTCCACGGCTCATCCCCGTACGCAGTAAGTACGCCTGGCCTCGGGGAGGGGGCGAGGACGCAGCTTCCTGGGCACGGGCCCGTTTTCCCTCTTCTCCAGCTGGTCTTGCCTTTCCGCAACCGTTCGCTCACAACCTCTTTGTTTTGTCTGGCGAAGCGTTCGAAGGTGGCAGCTGCATCCTGGCCCAGCCAGCGGGGAGGGAGCTGCTGGCTGGTGATTCTCAACAACGGTTGTGGTGGGGCCGAGGATTTGGCGTGCAGCGAGCGAGGGGTTGTCTGAATTCCACTGAAAGCGGAGATGGGTTGAACCGGTGCCTTCTTGCTTAGCTTACATCTGCTGACTCCATCCGTGCTTGGCTTTTGTCACAAGCAGAACGCATCTGATGTCAGTCAATCCCTGCTAAACATTTGCTCATATTGTCTAGTTAATGTCTGACCAGGTATAATTAGCATTACTCCCTCCAAAGAAGACTGCTTTCAGTTGTGGGTCAGCGCCAGGCTGAGACACAGCCTCACGTAGCGAAGACCCAGGTGATCAGAGGTGGCTTGTGTCTGTGGAGGTGGGGAGCAAGGTGGGAAGAG